ATTAGGGTGAGCCAAAAAAACTAACCTATCGGATTTATGGGTTAAAATGAACCTACATACCGAGCAAAAAATTTCCCTGCAAGGCAAAATTTTTTGCTCAATTTTAAAAGGTGTCGGTGAGCATTTTAAGTTTTCCATTGAAATAACACGTAAAAAAATCTTTTTTCCTTAAAAAGACTATAACTTTTGAACCGTTTGAGATAAAATTTTTTACGTCGCGGATTCTTGTAGAGCATAAAATTTCCCAAAGAATCTATACCATGATTATTTTTTTAATTCAAAAATTCGTATGTTTGAAAGCTTTGAAAAGTGTAAAAAATCACTACAAACTGCAGTTTTATCTCAAACGGTTCAAAAGTTATAGTCTTTTTAATGAAAAAAGATTTTTTACGTGTTATTTCAATGGAAAACTTAAAATGCTCACCGACACCTTTTAAAATTGAGCAAAAAATTTTGCCTTGCAGGGAAATTTTTTGCTCGGTATGTAGGTTTATTTTAACCCATAAATCCTATAGGTTAGTTTTTTTGGCTCACCCTAATATATATATTTGTATGCTTACACTGTTAAAAAATCCATTATGAATAACTGCTTAACGAAAGGAGGTCTTTTTGTTTGCAAATTAATTTTCGAACTTAATTGATATTGCTAAACTATGTATAAATAGTTTATTTATACCTCAATAAAAATTATTATTTATAACTAAATACCACGAGTGCTCGTCAAAGTGAGTCGCATCTTGCATCTTGCCGTCGCGCTCTTGAAACTTCATCAATGCTCGCAATGATTGCTTATAAAGTGCAAATAGTCTGTAGTATGGCAACTAGTGTTTGTGTAGAGCACCATAAGGTCAGGGAAGTGTTGAAGTTGAAGTGTAGAGTGACACCTTACGGGTGGTCGATCGCGGTCTAGCCACGCATTTGGATGCTTTTACGAGACAAACTAAAGAGGGTAACCAAGGGAGGAAAGGCCAATTTGCAATTCTAAGTATATATAAGTAAACTTAAACATCTGCATGACCTAATATATTATTTGCCACCAAGACAGGTACCTTGAAACACCCTAAATGAGGCATTTTTCTTTTAAACATGAGAAAAACTAACCAAAAAAACAACAACAATTAAAAATAAAAATAAACAAAGTGTACCAGTAACATTGAGACAATAGTAACAAAATAACAACAACACAAAAACAAAACAAAACCGCCCCAACTCTTAACTCGGTCAAAGGAATGCTGACAAGGACAATAAATCTATCAATAACAAACGACCAAGACTAAACCCATAAAAGAAACGATTAAAAAACCAAACGAACATAAATTAGGAAGAAGAGCATTTTTCATAACGGTCGTTGGCGTAGCTGGATGTGCTAATTAGCACATCCAGCTACGCCAATCGTGCAATATCACATTCGAATTTTTGCAAAGTCTAGTTCCAGATGTTTCACTTAGGCATCGTATTCTTCTTTTTCGTTGGAAGAAAGTATCTGCAAGATATCTGTTGCATCGTCAACTTTTATTCCACTTCTGACACCAATTTCAACTTTTTTTGTAGTTCGACAGTGTATATAAAATAGGCACTGGTTAATTAACGAACTAAACTATTTATTTTTATAACTTAATTACAAAGAAAACTTTTAAACTAAATTATCACAAACTATAATTATTTGGTACTTGCGACGAAATAAATTAAATATACGCATAAATAAATAGATTTTTTTACAACTTTACTGTACATACTTTAACAGGAACTTTAATTATTTGAACCTTTATAAAATCGCCTCCAATGAGCTAATTGAATTAAAATTTGTACAGGATCAAGGTTAATAACACACAAATATGGTGTTTTATACATTTTATAATGATATCTTTATTTGTTTTTTTTTCTGATGAATTTTGACCACTTTTTTGCGGTTGCCACTACGCGCAGCGCTAAACATAAATTATCCACAATAACAAATAGCACGATAATAAGAATTGCAATTATTATAATCAGTGAATTATTTTCCAACTCTTAGTTATAATTTTACTTCCAACGTCAAAAATCGGAGGCTCATTTAATTACGTAATTTTTACTTATCATTAAAATGACAAAACAAGTAATTAATTATGTGTTTAGGTTTTAATACTTCCATCTAATGGAAGTCTTTCTTTGGGTAAAATTTGTTTGCACTTCTATTTTATATCCAAAAATAGGCAACTATTATTTATTCATTTAATTACGTAATTTCAACTTATCATTAAAATGACAAAACAAGTAATTAATTATGTGTTTAGGTTTTAATACTTCCATCTAATGGAAGTCTTTCTTTGGGTAAAATTTGTTTGCACTTCTATTTTATATCCAAAAATAGGCAACTATCTTAAATTATTATTTTCTTTTGGAGACATACCATAATATTTTCCTCAAACGACGGTAATCTTTTATTTAAAAAAAGCATTTTTTTATTTAAAAAACTGACTCCGTTTTATTATGGTAAAAAATACTGAAAATGACCTGTTTTTCTAGCCTTAATAGCCCATAGAAATTGTATTGCAATACTTTTTATATATTATCTATTTGTTTAATTTTTATTTCTTTTGTATTAAATAATTAAAAATGAGCTAAACACAGTTTTACCAATAAATTTGTTTAAAGTATCTAAACTGCTCCTGACGTGAAAATCTTCTATTCTAAATAATATTATTTTTGTTACTTATTTCAAAATATTTCAGTAGGTGTGTTGCTTACCTGTTAATGAATTTGCTTTTATTATGAGCATGCAATTAAATAATTATCTAAGAAGATTGTCAAATCTATTTTAAATTATTAAGATAAATATGCATGATTGCAATAATGTAATAAAAAAAGATAAAAATTCACGTTAATAAACTATTGTTTGGCCCACAAATTAGGCTGAGGTTATGAGAATTCGCCGAAAATATATGTAAATAATAAAATTGAATAAATTAAATTGAGACATTGTAATTAACATTTCATTAACACATGTAGTCTAACAATTTACACATTTTAAGTACCTACGTGTATCTATATAAATTACTTTAAATGTGAAAGATTTCACCTAAAATTTAAATGATGTTTAATTACGGTTAATTAGTTATAAAATGTAAAAGTTAGTGTTTATATAATGAAAGTCAGAGAACACCGTATATTCCAGGAAAATAAATTTTTATAGTAGACAGTATGGCATTGCCATAATGGCAAGTCCCATAAGGTCAACCATGTAAAGGTGATCTTGAATTATGTGAGCAAACGTAGCATTTTCTATTTCGATACAAAATTTAGATAACATTCAGGCAATAAAAACAATCATATTTTATTTTGTTTCATAAGTTTGATACCGATTTTATGGTTGATCGGTGATTTATACGTACCTAAGAACTTTTAGTTTTATTTTCAATAAGTGTAAATAAATTACAGAGAGTGCACTCTCAGCATGCCGGCTGTAAATAATGTTATGAAAGTAATTTGTAAACACGGTCTTTATTTTCCATTAACTTATCAATATTTTTAAGCTTTAGGTTCTTTGTGGACACACTTCTTAAAAATTGCTCTGGATGCCTATTGAGTAGGTTTTAGTATTAAAAAGTTTATACATAATCTACATGTATTGTTAGAAAATATAAATGCAATTAGTAAATAAAAGTAGTAAAATATGGGATACTATTTATCACTTAAATAAATTTTTTGAAATTAAATAATGTATCTATATTAATCTCGTACTTAGTTATTAAATATTAAAAAAAACTTGGTAATGCTGCATGTGAGATAGAACATAAATCACCACAGATTATAAAGGTTAAATTCACTAAGGTATAAATCACTAATGTATTTTAAGACTGTTTGTTAAAATAAAGTGACCAGATTCTGTCAAAAAATAGCGGGACATTTTGTGTAAATTAACCTTAATTACAAAATTGACACAATCAACAATAATTAAGTAACGTCAAATTTACAATTTGCATTAGGTAATGCAATTGTATCAATTTTGTAACTAAGGTCAATTCATACAAAATGTCCCTCTATTTTTTTACAGAATCCGGTCACTTTATGTTAAAATATAGATACAGTTTTTATTCGGAATTTGACAACTTTAAAAATTGGGGGTTTAGTTGGCAAATTCTAGGGACCCTAAATTTATAATAGCCTACATTATTTTTTTTCCTTTAGAATTTTATGTCATCTTTGGCATTCTGATAATGTCAAAGTAAAATTTAGGCAGGAGTTTCTCTGTGGGCAGGAGTCACAATTCACAAAATGTTTGGATTGTGGCAGGAGTACTAATTTAAAATATTAAAATCACCAAAGTATATTAATAATATCATTTTGAAATACAACATAGGTAATCAAATGTGTAAAATTCCGAATAAAAAAAACTGTACCCATTTTATTTTTTAAGCTTATTTAGATTTAATAAAATAAATAAATATTATATTTATATTATAAAAGTATCGGCCAATCATTTGGGATATATAATTTTAAATTTAAAGAAATGGAAAAATTTAAATAATCCCCAATTTTGAAAATATCAAATAATTGTCCGATAAGTAAATTTTGTATAATTCTTTAAAAAATAGCAGAAAAAAATATTACGTTTCTGTTTTGTAAGATATAGTTCTTTAACCTCAACTAACGTGAACAAGTGTTTGACTTTTTAAATGTGTTCAAAAACTGTAAAAAAATATTTTTTTATTAATGATTTGACCTAAAGCAAACAAAGTTTATTTAAATTACTTTTGACATTATTGGAAATTCTTGCCAATAATTATAAGGTTTTATGGATTTTGTATAAAATAGACGAAATATTTTGGCAAGGGATTACAAAATATAAAGATAATTATTAAAACACAACAATTTAATTCCAATCGATTATAAAAACATGATATATTAGGTACGCTCGAAATCTGTTCATTTACAAAACCTCAACGAAATCGAAAGTAGTGGGAACCTTACGGCTATACGTATAAGATAACGAATGAGCTTTCTTCATGCTTCATTACTATTGTTAACCTAACCTCTACCTCACAACTCTCATCTGTATTTTTTTCGTCGAGTTAAATGGGAATGCATGGTGAATAAAAAGTAATTGCTTCTCTCGTGCGTTACGCGTTTATTGCATTAAATCGAGCAGATTTTTTTTGTATTTAGTTTAAGTGTTTAAAGAAACCGGGTCGGTTCCCTCGAACAAAATGGATACAATTTTTAAAGTAAGTATCTTTTTTACAGTATTTGTTTTTTTTTTGATATACAAAATTATATTATTGTTTGCAAATTGACAAAAAAATACATAAAAATATAAATTTTAAAAAATTTTGAAAACAAATTAAAATACCTATTTTTTTTTAAGTTTTTCATATTTTTATTTAAAAAGTTAAAAACATTTAACAACCCCTGCCAGTTTAAAACTGGGTCAAAAAAGATACAAAGCCGCAGCTACCTATTTTTGTAGATATTTCTGTTACAATTTTTTTGTTGACTGTTATTTTAAATATGCTTTAAAACAATAAACCGGTGATGGTTTAGCATATTTTGGAAGAAAAAATATTTTTAATTTATACGACTTTTGTCGCCTGTTCTTTTTTAAAAAAATGTAATCCATTTTTTATGCTTTATTGTAGTAGGTAAACATTTCATCACTTTTTGTTCTCAAATAATTAATATAAAAATATTAATTATATTAATAATGGTTTGTTTGCATCAAAATAAAAAGGGAATAAAAAATAATTGTTTTAACCATGACAATCAAATATAGGCTATATATATTATTCTATATCAAAATAGTAATATAATATATAATGATGGACCTTGTGGGGAAGTTTTTTTGTGCATTGGTTCATCCGTAGGAGTCGTCAAAGTACAGTTTTTGAAAAATATCGTTTTTTTTATTTTTTTCGAACAAACCGCCAAAAGTAGGGAGGAAAAAGGGCTGTATCATAACAAAAAGTTATCCAACCAATATTTAATGAATTTACAGCCATTTTTATAACTGAAAACGTAATAAATTGATAATTACCAACTCATAATGTCATTTATATTGATTTTTTCTATTTATTATCAATATATTTCCCTAAACTAAGAACTTTTTTAAAATTATTATGATTTCTCACTCATAATGAATATGAAAACAACACATAAATTCATAAAAAAACCAACAAAAAGTTTTCTGGAACGTAATTTCACCAAGTACAGCTACTTCAACTGCCTCATTTCTCACCGGATTTTTAATATCTTGTTTTTGATTTGCTACTGAACCAGTTTGTCGAAATTTTTATACTAACTTTAGGATGTAACCATGATGTATTTGCATGCCTCTTATTAAACAAAGTTGTCGAATCGAAAGAAAATAAAAGCACAGAAAAAATTAACTATTGACATCAACTTCTTTACTGAAGATAAAGTCGATTTGTTGACTGATATTTGTTAGTTTATAAACAATTTTTTCAACGAATTTTTACTTCACAAATTTGTAATAACCTGAAATTTTAAAAACGAAGCGCTATTTAAAAAAATGTAATGCCCTTTCAAAACATCACACATACCATTTTAAAAATAAAGGTGAATTTCGGCGGTGAAGTTACAGTGATGAAATTAATGTGTTAATAGAGGGTGTCCCAACAAGAGGAATTTAATTTTAAAGAAAAACACGTTTATTTTTCGAATTAAGCCAACATTTTTATATAAAAATAAAGAAAAATTATTCCGTTTAAACGTGAAATACAACATAAGGCAAATGGCCACCATGAAACCTCTGGCACAGGGTTATTCTTTTGTTGAAATTTTGAATAATGTTTTGGCATAAATGTTGTATTTCACCAATAACGCGCCGTATTTCTTCTTTAAGATGTTCAACTGTTTAAGGTTTTTCGCACACACCTTTTCCTTCACTTAGCCCTAAATAAAAAGTCCATCGGCGCTAGATCGTACGATCTTGGTAGACAATGTTGATCACCAAATCGAGAAATAGCACGGCCTGGAAACTTGATCTGCAGTAACTCCATTGTTTCACGTGCTGTGTGGCATGTCCCACCGTCTTGTTGAAAAAATATGTCATCCAAATCAAATACATCCAATTCGGGCCTCAATGTTTAATTCTTGACCACGATGCCGATTGGAAGTTCCTGGATTCTCGGCCACAGATTCCCTTACTGTGGCTATATTTACGAGTGACCGACAAGGACGACAACGAACAATGGTCTTCTAATCCATCGGAGTAAATTTGGTCCTAAATTTTGTAATTAAACGCCTCACTGTCGAATCATTTGGCGCATAATTTCGACCGAAAACTTGACGAACTGTTTTTGCAAAACTTTCACCATTTTCGTCATGTGTTTTTACAATAATTAAACATTGTTCGTTTGAATATTTCTCCATGTTCTTAAATCGCGTGGTCTATACGTGACAACTGTCGAAAAAAAATTAGCGTACAACTCGTATTAACAACATGGCGGCAAATTTAAATCGTGCGCTCTTGTTGGGACACCCTTTATGTGCCCCTGAAAATAAAAGTATACGGGTCCGAAGATTTTTTTTTATTTTCATATACAAAGCAGTAAACCTTGCTGGACTGTTTTAGATGGGCCACCCTGTATATATATTAGGGTGCTTTATTTTAAAGCGAAATTTTTTTTTCTTTAAAGTCCCACCTGAAAATCTTTTAATGGGTCAGAAAACAAAAATTTTAAGCTATTACAAAGCTTAATCTTTATTGCCGTTGCTATTCAATTTGTAAATATTTTCCTTTAAAAACCGCTAAAAATCAATTTATTATTCTTTTCTCCTTCCGCTCGTACAGTAAGAATATATTTTTTCGAATTTAGGTTGTCAAATTTTTATACAGGATGAAATTATCTTCAAAAATGTCCATTTAAGCTAGTCTGTAAGTTGAATATGTTCTTCAAAAATTGCCGTTCTACTCGAAAATCTTCTAAAATAGCAGTAAATTTACTTGACGATTTCATTATTCCTTAAAATTAGTGCTGAAAATCAATAAGAAGTAAATTTATAAAAAAAATTTATCATTTCATAATTATAGTATAGGTTCTTAGCTACTGATAATTACTGTAATGTCAGTAAAAACGGCAAATGTTATTAATATATATAGGTAAGGGTGTTTAAAAAAAACAATTATTTTGTTTCCAATGGTGTTAAAAAATTAATAGTACATTAAAAAACAAAAATGTTGGCGCCTATTTTAGCCCTTAATATTAATATTAAAGTTTGCCTCAATTCATTTGTTGTTTTTCCATTTCAATAACACGAGAATTTTTATTTTTTTAATTTTGAATTCTTAAAACTTACATTATTTTATGTAAAATCACTTTAATTCTGTTAACCTGAGACTGTAAACTTCTTATTTTTTATTTATTTATAAATATGTCATATGATATTTTTTTGTATTTTATTTGAAAATATTTGAAATTTTATATTAGTGTTATTTTTGATCGCTGATATCTTTGAAATGGTTGATCTGAGGAACTTTGACCTTCAGATGTTTTTTGTAGAGCATGAAATTGTCTATAACTCCTCTCGCTTGGGTGTTGCGAAAACAAACCATTCCAAAGTTATAAGAATTTAAAATTAAATAAATAAAAATTCCTGTGTTATTGAAATGGAAAAACAACAAATGAATTGAGGCAAACCTTAATATTGATATCAAATAGGCGCCAACATTATAGTTTTGTATATAAACTTTTTTTTTGTATACATACATTTTACATCTGCAATAAATAATTCTAGTTATAAAAGTTATTTGAAGTAGAATTTCGGTTGTATGTAAACTTTAAAAGGCTGAATTTACTGAAGAATTAATGATTTAGATATTATAACTGTAAAACTGTTTCAGAACATCTAATAACAAACAAATTTTCTATTTAACTCTTTCACGAAACTCTAATAGTATAGTTATTAGAGTCGTCAGAAACTGAATTTTTAAGAATTATCTACAACCAATAGTTTAGTCTCCAAATACAATTTACTGCTATTTTAGAAGATTTTCGAGTAGAACGGCAATTTGTGAAGAACATATTCAACTTACAGACTTGCTTCAAAGGATATATATTATATATATTATGTATATAGCGCCCTTAAATAATCGGTTACTATTCTGTAAATATGCACAATATTTAAAAATAAAAGTTTGTAGAACTAATTTTTCTTATGAAAAAATGGTTTTGGGTAGTTTTATATAAAATTAAAATACGTTCGCGAAACACGAATTTACTCTTAATTCAAGATGGCGGAAAGGCTGCAAGGGGTTTATGGTCGAAAACTCGGATTTAAGCTTTTTATATGGTATACCCTAACGATCGCAATAACAATTTCTTTTCAATGAATTGGAATAATATAACTACAAAATATACTTGACTACAAGAATATAATAAATAAATTGGTTTACATTTTAATTATCATGTAAGTTTAACACTTTCTTTGCAATAAAACCTTGCTATAATATGCGTTTAAGTTATTAATACTTTTATTAATTAAGTAATAAAAATTCTTTACGGTAAATCTTTTAATGCGTTTATTACACGGGTCAACACAAAATTTGACTTTGACTTCAATGCATAAAATTTCGATATTTTAGGTCTTAATTAGACGGAAAAAAAATATATGACATGAAAAAGTTTGCTTTTGTATTTAGGAGAACGATTGAACGATATTTTTCAAAATCTGTGATTTTAATTTTTAATTGAAAATGAAACCATTTAAATAAATATGTGTATTATTTTTATTAAGTTTTACTTTTAAAATAACTTACAAAAAAGTGGAAAATAATTTAAAAGTGTACGCTTTTACTTTTTCTTTTATGTTCGTAAGTACTTTCTCTCAATAAACCCCAAACATAGTCTCCCATCATGTTTTCATTGTATTGACCTTGATAACGTTGTTCGAAACTCATAATGTCCTGATGAAAACGTTCTCCTTGCTCTTCTGAATACGCCCCCATGTTGTTTTTAAATTTATCTAAATGAGCATGCAGCATATGTACTTTTAATGACATCCTGCAGCCCATGGCATATATTAGCATATCCTCAACTAACTTTTCGTAGTTTTCAGCTTTATTATTTCCTAAAAATCTAGAAACTACTGCTTTGAAACTGTCCCAACTCTCTCTTTGAGTACGATTCAACAACGTTGGAAATTTTTCATCAGCGAAAATCTGTCTAATTTGCGGACCAACAAAAACCCCAGCTTTAACTTTTGCTTCTGATAACTTCGGAAAAAAATTTTTTAAGTATACAAAAGCTTCTGACGTTTCATCCAGTTTTTTAACAAATTGTTTCATCAACCCTAACTTAATGTGCAGAGGTGGCATTAACACTTTTTCCGCTTCAACAATTGGCTCAACTTTTACGTTTTGTTTTCCGACACAAAGTTCTGTTCTTACAGGCCATGACCGTTGAATATAGTGCTTATCATCCGCTCTGCTATCCCATAAGCACAGATAACATGGATACTTCGTATATCCGCTCTGTAGTCCCATTAAAAATCCCACCATTTTAAAATCTCCAATCAACTGCCAGTTATACTCGCGATACTTTACAGATTCAAGCAAGATTTTAACACTGTCATAATTTTCTTTAAGATGTACTGAGTGAGCGATTGGAAGAGATGGGAATTTATTTCCGTTATGTAATAAAACAGCTTTTAAGCTTTTTGTAGAGCTGTCAATGAATAAACGCCATTCGCTAGGAACACAGGGTATGCCAATTTCTTCGAACATCCCTTTTATGTCATTGCAAAAACAAAGTCCATCTTCTTTTGTGAAAAACGTTGAGAATGTTTCATGCCTAGTTCGCTGATCCGTGATATTAACATTATTAAACAAATTCCACTGTTTTAAGCGAGAGGCTAAAAGCTCTGCTTTATTTTTTGGCAAATTTAAATCTCTTACCAAGTCGTTAAAATCTTCTGTAGTAATAAGATGGTGTTTTGGTTGTTCTGGTGTAGGTAAAAACTCCCTATCGGAATTACTTTTATTAGAACTAAGAGATGAGCAACTTTTCTGAGATAATTTTTTCGGTGGCTCAGGTACGGGTCGTGTCAGGTCGTGTGCAATTGGAGCAGAAGAAGATTCAAGGTCAGGATATTCGATAGGTTTGGCATTTTTACCACTACGTCTTTTTCTAGGATTCACAATGCAAAAGTAGCAGTCATTGACGTGGTCTTTTGGTTCTCGCCAGATCCTTGGTATTGCAAATTTCATGGACCTCTTTTCACCTCGATACCAACCTAAAATATAGAAATAAAAATTAATATGCCCAGTATAATAATATAATATAATATTATATAATTATATTTGATTCACCGCCTAATTAAAAATTGCTTACCTTCCAAACATCTTTTACAATAACTACAAGCAACATGTGGAGCCCATGGCTTGTCTTGATGCCGAACAGGACAGTCAAAATATGCTTCGTAGGCTTCACATAGGACGTAAGATGTCTTTAGTTCGTATTTTACGTCTCGAACTTTAATAAATTGACCACATATATAACAAAATGCATCAGCATCATATTTACACTTTCGCGACGACATTTTAAGTTTTTGTAGACTTTTACAAAACACCTGTTCGTTGTTTATCACTTAAGTGCCATCTAGCGGCACTATGTGAACGTAAAAACCCCACTCTGATCGCGCGGTATTTTTAATTGTGTTAAAATTAATTAAAATTTATAAAAAAATTCAAAAATGAGTATTATTACTATAACTATCACAAAAGCAAACTTTATACCAAAAAAATGTATTTTCTTTTCGTTTTTGTGCATAATTAACTGAAAAATCATAAAATAAACTTTAGGACAAAGAACGAAATTTTTTTTGTAGAGTCGTGTTATCTATTTCAAGCAAGGAAGCGGTATATTTAAACTTTTTAATTGATTGATATAGATAAGTAATCAATTACCGATTGGAATTTCTATCGCCTTTTAAAAACTGATTTTATTTTTATGATTTTGATTAATATGCATTGAATATCATAGGCGATAATTTATAAAAGTACTAAAAATTTGATGTATTAAGCTTAATTAAATTTTAAACAGATGGTTCTTCTTGTATTTAAATAATTAATAAAAAATTAACGATCACAGCATATGTTTAACGTGCGTTTAAAGAAAGTTTTAATATGTAAACTAAAATTTTGTCAATTCCAATTAAGATTATGGGAAAGTTCCTGTTATATAAAATTATATTAAATTCACACAAAAAAATTTTGAATAAAAAATAATTTTGAAAAAATCAAAGGGATAAAATTTTAAAATTTAGGACATTTAGTTCAATTACGTGTTTAGATTGTTTTATTTATAGGTACATTTAAAAATAAATATTTTTATCATATGTGCTATATATACCATACATATTTCTTAATAAAACCTACATATGTAATTTTTTTATAAAATTGCTTAATATGGTTTTGTTTTAAATATGTGAGTATTAAATATTTATATAAAATATACAAATATATAAAATATATAAATATAGCATAATAAAAAATTGTAACCCAACAAAATTGCGCAATTTTTCATGCAAAATAATTTAAAAAGGCAAAATATATTCGTGATCCAATCATTCTTAAAGATCAATTTAACAAATCATTGACCATTATAAATTGTGATCCCGTATTTACATGCAAATTTATCTAATAAACGTTTTATTGTTTGGAAATATTTATTTTGAAATATTTTTAAATGATCTTATATTATTGTTAAATTTCGATATCTACATTTAGAAAGTAGGTACCCAAAATATAGTAAACTCATAATAATTTTATTTTAGGTTATTAACAAATGTATACTTATTATTATTCTTACGAAAATCCAACTGAGTATGAGCAAAGAGGAACCTCATCCTGAATTATACTTGGCTCCTAGAAATTTTAACCCTCATCCTTATGAACACGGCGCCACCAGTGCACAGACTAGTGGTCCTGGCAACGGTCCTGTTTTATTCCCGAGAACTCCCGAGGACGAGGAAGACAATAATAAAAGACAAAATAACATTATCACAATACCTAAAGGATTTGTAAATAAGAATGCACACCCTGTAGATAATCATCCTTATTCAAGGGTAGTAAAGAAGAACAAGTATAAGCTGGTGGGAAAATATCACAATAGGGTAAGATTTTTCATTAATTTATATTATGAGAGAGTTACAATTGTGTGCCGATAATTACAATTTTTTTTTCGACAAAATTTGGCAACGCTGTATATCCCAAGCCGTTATATAATAATTATATTATAAATAAACAATGCATGTGCTACGAGTTAAAGTTAACAATTTTAACTTCATCATCATAATATTGATATTATTATGAATTTTTTTTTATTTTCTTCTTTACAAAATTACATACATATGTGGGTGCACAACCAAACAACCAAAAATAAAAATATTAGTCAAATTATAAAATTATAATGCCTTTTTTATCAATAATTATTTTTATCTACTCCTACATTGACGAGCTGTAACTTTATGGCGTTTTATTGACGGGCTGAAGTTAACAACAGTGGCTTTTCGACATTTTACGTCACGGGCTGAACTTAGCTTTATTATAAATTGGGAAAAAGTGAGGTTAAATTCGGGTGACAGTTGACAGATGTCAAAATTTTAACAAATAAAATTGGCTTTAAATTTTGTTTTGTGTTCGTCGTAGATAAAGTATAGTATGCAACTCGTTTATAAACTTATATAGACACTCGTTTTTATTAAACACTCGCTCGCAAGCTTCGCTCGTGCTTATTTAAACTCGTAACTAAAATGGCGTTTATAAAACTTGATACATAATATACTATTATATCCCTATGTAAACGTAACAATGCCAATCCTATCAGTTTTTAGTTGAATCAATGGTGAAAAACTGCGTTTCGCTGTTACAAAAACTGGCATAACGCATACTAAATAAAGAGCCATATTAATATATGAAAATATATTAACATCACACGGTTCTAAAGCAGAAAATGCACATACAAATAAAGAAAAAAGAGTTCAATGATAAAAAAACGACGAACCTGTTTTTAAATAATTTTGACAATTTTTTCCACCTGTTACCTGTCAAAAGTGGACTAATCAGATCGCTTTATATGTCAATTTTTGAAAAATTAATTAGCGCATACTACCTAGTATACTAGTATTAGTATACTAGTAAGGTTAATATTTTTCAATTATAACGACTTTAGATTTTAATTTTTTGAATTATTGGTTTAATAAAATTGTAAAGTTGCGAATAGTAGGTACTTGTGCTACTCAAGCACAAAAAATACTTGCTTATTAAAATAATATGTTAAAAATTTTTATTTGAATATCACACCTCAAATTTTTTTTACATATTTTTGATTACTTTTAGTACTACTAATTTTATATGAGTATTTATTTATTAGTTTTGCTTTTCTACTTCAATTTATAATTATTCATATAACTAAAATATAAAAAAATCGCGAAACGAGTTAAATATCGTACCACAAGTACAAGGACAGCCATTCCACGCTACTCGGGAATTTTTGTAGCGTCCGTTACAATAAAAAATTATATTTTTTTATTGTAACGGACGCTGCAAAAATTCCCAAATAGCGTGGAATGGCTGTGAATGAAATTTTGTGAAAAAACTACCTATTTATTTAAAAATGATGTATAATCTGTGCTTTAAATGTACCTATTGTTGACAATTCTTAAAGTCACGCAATGCTATAGAAGTACACCAGATACTTCTTTAGCGTATTTTATCTAAAATCTGACAAGTTTTAAACAGTTTTAACCTCACTTTTTTCACCTATTAACAAAAAGCTGACGTGGTGAAAATGCTAATTTGCCCACCGTTAAGAAATTAAATTTAACTGGTAAGCAACATTTTACTTCGCCCACGTGCTGAAGTAAGCTCTAAGTTAAAATTGGAAAAAAGTGAGGTAAAACTGCTTGACGGCTGTCAGATAAAATTTCAAATTCCTTGTGGTAGTTAAATAAAATATTGTATTATACAAAAACGAAGATTCCACTCGTCTATTACCGTACTCGCCACGCTCCTGCGGAAAACTCCACGCACGAGGAATCTCTTTCTCCCACTAATCGCAATAATCGCACAAAAATATTGTATATCATAATATTGTTTATTTCATACTGTACTTTAATGTGCCATTTCCCGGACTCATTTGAGTCCGGGAAATGATACATTACATCACTAGGCCGGTAAAGTAACTTTACCGGACTGGTATATTTTAACTAACACATGGTTATTTCTGAACGATTTTTTTTACAATAAACTCAGTTATAAATGTAACAATAAACTTATTTATAAACGTTAAAAGTAATATTGCAGTTTATGTTATTTAAAATATTTACAGGGGTAGAATCAGATACAACTTGGGATTTATCTTTAGTAACCAAAGATGATGAAACTTGATTCTGGTGGTGAAGAACTTGAACAAATGTTTCGCCGCCTTGGATCATTCGAGCCACTTTTGTTTTACTTTCCAAGGATTCCTCCACATATTTTTCTGCCACAGAACTGCTTTTCCATCCACCGTGCCGCTTCAGTATGCTAACATCGGCTCCAGCGTCGGGTAAGAGCGTTGCCCTGAATACCTTTCAGGATGCTCTAATTTAAAAACTCGGCAATTTTCCTAGGTGCTCCTCCTATTGAACGGATGCCCACTCGGGCATTTAGCATTAAGAAAGCAATAAACTCTTACCGCATCTAAGTAAGCCAACATTATGTTTTCATTTAGACTTTTCTCCACATTATAAGTTTTTGCGCCATTCACAGAATATCTCGTATTCCTTTTGATATCGTCCGGAAGACTTGACCGGGATAAGTTTCGCCGTTGCTTCAGAACTTTTTTTCAAAATCTCTGCATCCATTTTATTCGAAATTAATTAAAACCACAGATTCAAAACGATGCTGAACTGACAGACAAGACAATCAATAAAAAAACTCTTTGTTACTATTAGCAACCGATTTAAATCATACTACATTATTACCCTATATTACTGGTGCTACATTTTATAGTTTGTTTAGACAATACTGATACCATCATGTACTGACACCCTACTGACACATTACTGACACCTTCACCTGAATATACAGTTCAATTTTTGTACCAAAAATTTGAAAAAAATAATGAACAGTATGAAATAAAACATTGTACGATACACGGCCGTGAAATGTCATTAAAGTACTTGTCTAGAAATTCCAGACTCGGCTCCTTCGTCGCCTCGTAAACATCTAGACTAGTACTTTAATAAGCCATTTCCCGGCCTTGTAACGTAAATTACTATTTTATAAGTGTTTAAAAGCGACTTTTTCAGGCGTGTCTTTAAGTTAAGCCGCGAGTGTGCATTAGCACAAGCTTAAGAAATGCTTTTCTCATTTAGAAGCTTATAGTATTTTATGTAACTAGTTCTATAGATCATGACCTTGAGAATTTTATAAAACAAATTGCAATTTGACATTCTATCTGACATCTGACAACTGTCAAACGGTATTAACCTCACTTTTATTTAATCTGACATCGGTATTAACCTCACATAGGTATTAACCTCTAGTCACAGAATACGTGCTCTAGTGGATTAATACACTAGTATTTTAAATAAACGAGTAGATAATGGTATATTATGTATCAAGTTTTATAAACGCTATTTTAGTTTAGTTTTATTAGGCACGAGCGAAGCTTGAGAGCGAGTGTTTAGTAAAAACGAGTGTCTGAAGAAGTTTATAAAACGAGTTGCATATATGTATACAGTATGTCCCCGGATAGGGTTGCCAAGAGGAGAAACTTCTTTATTTTTAATTTTACGAGAAAAATGTATTCTTCATAATAGTTTTTGCTTGTTTCAAAATGGCTGAATCAGTTTCCACCGTTTCAAATTTCCTTTCCGTTAAAGAGAAACATTAAAAAATATGTCCTTTTAGTTGAATATTTTAAAAATTACTTTTCGTTTTCATGGCAACAGTTAACACGACTATTGTTAATTAAGTTTTCATTGCAACAATTCAACAAAAATCAAGTTGTTTCATTGTCAGTCTAAAACGAAAATTTGTCAAAATTAATGACAATGTTGTCGAAAGAGCAACGAATTTATTTAATACAGTGATAGCACTGTATTAAATAAATTCGTTGCTCTTTCGACAACATAGGGTAAAGGTGATAAAGCAACCCGACGAGTTATAGAAGAATTCAATCAAAAGTTTCCCGATATTTACATCTCAAAATGTGGTGCACAAAAATTAATAAAGAAATTCTTAATTACTGGGTACGTTTTGGATGTAAAGAAAATTAAGATCGCAATGAAGATGACGCTTCCACCCTTATCGTAACGGATTCGATACAAAATAATCCGAAACTTTCTTTACGACGAAGATCGCTTCAATTGGGGAAAAGTAAAACACACATTCAAAGAATATTGAAACAATGTTAAATTCATACTTACAAACCAATTTTTAATCACGCTTTAGAGCACGGAGATCCCGCAAAACGTTTGGATTTCTGCTTGTGGATGGGTGCTCAAATCATGGATAATCAATACTTTTATCGAGATATTATATTTTCTGATAAAGCCACGTTCTCAACCAATGGTTTCATCTCAGCATGCATGCTGAGGTACTGGAGCAATCACAATCCCTATTTTCGAATCGCTCGTAATCGACAATATTCGGCTAAAGTTAATGTATGGTGTGCAATTTCTTATCATGGTATAATTGGACCATATTTTTTTGAAAATACGGTTAATCAGCATACGTATTTAGATATAACATTTTCTAAATGAAAGGTTGGACGATCTACCGATTAATTATCGTTCAAGGTGTTACTTTCAACAAGATGGTTGTCCTGTCCATTATGCTCGAATAGTTGTAAAATTGTTGAATCAGCAATTTGGAGAGAATTGGATCGGCCGAAATGGTCCTATTTTATGGCCACCGAGGAGCCCTGATTTGACTATTGCAGATTTTTACCTTAGGGGCCGTTTGAAACAAATAGTTTATGCGAATGATCTTTCTCTGAACGTTTGAAGGAGAAAATCAGAGATGCTGTGGCGTCTTTACCGCTGGAAGAGATCAGAAACAGTTAACTGCGTCGCAGACTTGAGCTATGCGTTCATGAAGGTGGTGAATGGATCGAGTGAAATTT